CTACATATAACCTCCTCCCTGGGGGATGGACAACAGAAAAGTGGATGAAGGGAGACGTCAGACAGTGTAAGATATGACAAAATAATAATTTTTAAATTATCAAAGGTTCGTGAGGGAGGAGGGAGTGTGGGGGGAGGGGGGAAAATGAGGAGGTGATACCAAGGGCTCAAGTAGAAAGCAAATGTTTTGAGAATGATGAGTGTAACAAATGTGCTTTATACAATTGATGTATGTATGGATTGTGATGAGTTGTATGAGCCTCCAATTAAATGATTTAAAGGAAATAAATAAATGAGATTAAGAGGCAGAGAAAATGAATGCAAAAATTTTTTTTAATTTATACATTATCAAGGGAACATGGGGGAGGAAAAGTGGGGGAGGGGGGAGGGAAAAAAATGAGGAGCTGATGCCAAGGACTCAAGTAAAAAGAAAATCTTTTGAAAAAGATGATGACAACATATATATAGATGTGTTTGACACAATGGAGATATGTATGGATTGTGATAGGAACTGTAAGAGCCCCGAATAAAATAAAATAATTTTTTTTTTAATCAAGGCTGAGAAGACGGTCTCACGTACTTTGGACATATTAACAGGACATCATGCTCGGTGAAGTTGAGGGGCAGTGAAGATGAGGAAGACCCTCAACGAGATGGATGAACACAGCATCTGTAACAATGGGCTCAGGCATAACCACCATTGGGAGGATGGGAGGACTGGACGGTGTTTCATTCTGTTGTGCCAACAGTCGCTAGGAGTTGGAACCAACTTGATGGTGCAGGGGACAGAACTGTTTACCATGGCCCTGTGGTAGTTACATAACTTCATGTCAACTTGAAGACATATAAAAGTGCAGGTGTGATATTCGACATGTCAATCAGGTCACAGCCTGATAGTGCTCCTTGTGGATGTGGCCTTCTCATAAGGAGGGCCCTGGGTACTTCCTCCACCTCCACTCTCTCTGCCTTCGCCTTCCGGCTGGCTGACCCAGGTTGCTGCCAGAGACCTGGAGATGTGTCCATTGCCATTGGACCCACGTGACTTTGCACCCACCAACCTGTGATCTTCCTGTATTTGGCATCATTGCATGTGGCTGTGTGAGTCTGAAGAGGGACTTAATGGACTTAAGTTGGACTGGGCTGGGATGTTTTCACAATATATATTTACTTTTTGATATAAAGCTCTTTCTTACACTTATATGAAGGCCCCTGGATTTATTTCTCTAACTCCCACCAAACAACGTATTCCTGCATGGTTCTGGTAAGAAGGTGGGGGAAGATAGATAGGATTTACCTGTG